CGACATTGTATATAAAAAATATAGCGTGTGCAAAAATATTTGTTAAATTTTAGGTACGTTTAAACCGTAACTTTAATATATATATAAATTGTTTAAAAAACAATAAAATAAACAGATGAGAGATAAGTAGAAAACAATATACAATATCTTTATCTAGCAACAGAACTAATTGGTGGGTTTCTGAACTGTTAAGCCTAATTGCTCCTATTGTTTTTTCGTGATATATCAGTATAGTTTTGTTTAATAATTTCAGAAGTTTCGCGCAAAGTTTCACAAAGGACTGTTTGCGCATAGGTTTCCCTAATTTTGAACTGAATGACGGCAGCTTGTTAACAACACCTACCGCCAGCTTATATGTGGAATTTGGCCATCATTGTTATAACATATTTTTGAAACAACGAGTCGCGAACCATGAACTCTCAGATTCATACTTCGAGCATGCTATACATTAGGCCACGCTTTATCCGATATGAAAATGAAAAAAAATTAGTATCTAAGTGACAACATCGTTTTTTGATTCGTTATCCGTCGAATTGATCTCTCTATACAACGTTTCAGGCAACACAGTTTTGAACCAGTATATGATAAACTAACTATTAGCTAACAGTCTACGTTCATTAATTTCTGTCATATCCTGTTTGAATAATAAGAAAAAGGTTTTGTGTTTTGACATTAAAAGAACGGCGTAGGAACAACAACAAAGAACCATGAAACTTTTTACTAAGGCTGGCATTGTTGAACATGTTATAAATTTCTAGACAAAATATGATTTTTCAAAAACGAAGCTTAACTTGTCATACGCCGATCCCTAAAAAAAATAATACTACGATAGTTTTGTATTGAAAGAGGATAACTGATCGCATGTCATCTTTGAGAATGTTTGTCGTTTTTTTATTTTCATGACCAACTTTACTGTGATGGCATTCTGCAGTTTATCTTGTTTTAAAGACCTTCTTATTAATTTTAAATTACTGTTACACGAGTCCAGAAAAAAAGAAGAAGAAGCAGAAATAAGATAAAATGCAAAACAGGCAAGGGTCTTATGAAAAAAAAATATCAGTAAAGTAAAAAATGTGATGGTCGGACGTCAAAATGAAATACAATCGTTAACCAGATAATAAATTATACCAAACTTCCCGAGCGGTCATTCCTCTCAATTCAAGCCTAAAACTGCAAAGAAAAAGAGGTCTTAACCTGGTCACCTTCTTCAAATCAAAACTAACTCAAATGAAATGTAGAGAAAAAAAGACCATAAATCAGTCATTTCCTTCAGATAAAGCCTGTAAACGCAGACACAAACTTAACCTTAGGTCGGGGTAACTTCAAAATATCGAAGATGTATTCTAGTATTATTTCAACTGCAATAAAAAAAGGTTTTGTACCAGTGACTAAATCCTAATGGTTGACAAGATGTTACATTTGAAGTTTAGCAGAACCCAAGATCTTCAATAAACAGTTTTATATATAAAAACCATCGTATGTATCCAAAAAATTTAAAAAGGTGGGTCGAATTCAGTTTAAAGATTATAAAATCAAAGTTGTCCAGCCGCATTCGAGTAAAACAGCAACTTCTTAAGGTAGACAATATCTCCACAGTGTACAAACAACTAAACTAACTAACTCCAAAGTGTACAAACAACTAAATAATGGAGTATTTTAGACTAAACTAACTAACTCCGCAGTGTACAAACAACTAAATAATGGAGTATTTTAGATTGACTAAACTAACTAACTCCGCAGTGTACAAACAACTAAATAATGGAGTATTTTAGATTGACTAAACTAACTAACTCCACTGTGTACAAACAACTAAATAATGGAGTATTTAGATTGACCTCCATTATTTAGTTGTTTGTACACTGTGGGGTTAGTTAGTTTATATTTTAGACTGAATAAACTAACTAACTCCGCAATGTACAAACAACTAAATAATGGAGTATTTTAGATTGAAGAAACTAACTCCAACTAACAACTAAATAATGGAGTATTTTAGACTAAACTAACTAACTCCACAGTGTACAAACATCTAAATAATGGAGCATCTTAGATTGAAGAAACTAACTCCACTGTGTACAAACAACTAAATAAGAGAAACATAGCAGAACTTAAATGTGCAAAAACAGCTATAACATGAACAAACAGGTAGAAAAGTCAAGCAAGACAAGAGTCAAAATAACAAGTTCTTAGAATGTCGAACACAGAAGAAATGGCCGAGAACTTAGGTTAGAATACCTGTAAGGGTATAGGAATTCTACTCATAAACGTTTCTATTAACAAATTCAGTTCAGTAATTGCTAAAATTTCTTTAATGAATCAAATATTAAAAGAACATCTGATGACAGGAAAACTACCACGAACCATGGAAAGGGCCTTAGAGTATCAACTAAATCTGTCATTTATAACGCATGAGAAAACTCTGAAGATAGTAAGTAGAACAATAGTTAAAACTGATGCTTGTAACTAACTCAATTTGTTTTTGATAGGTTGGCCTAGTGTGTGTTTTATTAGCATTCACACTTTTCATTATGTCCAAGTCATTTTATTTGTTAAACAATACGTATTCAATACGAAAACTCACTCAATAGCTAATGTTGATTTTTGTACTTCGAATATTATGAACTAACTTCTTTGTTGTTGTTGAAATTTTAACTCTGCCGATGGAATTTCAGGAAATTCCGAAACGTCCGTGATTAAAGATGTTTTTGATATTACCACGTTTTAAATATTTATTATAAAACTTTATAAAAATTATATATATAGCATACCAACATTTCTGAATTCTTTGAAATTTAGGCTTAAGTTGAGAAGGTAGTTTTATCACCAAATCATACTGAAAAGAGATAGGTAATATTGTTTGTATCAGAATTTAACTATCGTTATAAGCCATTAAACCTGTATGTAACAGAACCAACGTTGGCATTTCTTGCTGTTACAGAATGTTAACGTTTTGAAAGTGTCCTTATATATGTCTGATTTTTACATTACCCGGTAAATGGGGCACTTTGAACACGTGCTAAACAAAATGTAAGTATGAGATGTGGCTTTAATAGATGTTTCTAGAATGGAAGTTTTAAAACTACGTCGGAGAATTCTTAACTTTTTCTTCCTATTATCATATAGAGTGGCTGGATCTGTTTGTTGTTTTTTCATGAAAATATAGTTTTGGTTCTGAGTATAACCTTTCTTCTTCTGGTTCTGTTATTTACATGAAGGAAGAATTGCTCTTATAGGTCTTTCAACACAAGTAGAGAGGCTAGTTCAGGTCCTACAACACAAGTAGAGAGGCCGGTTCAGGTCCTTCAACACAAGTAGAGAGGCCGGTTCAGGTCCTACAACACGAGTAGAGAGGCTAGTTCAGGTCCTTCAACACGAGTAGAGAGGCTAGTTCAGGTCCTAACACAAGTAGAGAGGCTAGTTCAGGTCCTTCCATACAAGTAGAGATGCTGGTTCAGGTCCTTCCATACAATTAGAGAGGCCGGTTCAGGTCCTTCAACACAAGTAGAGAGGCTGGTTCGGGTTCTTTTATACAGATAGAGAGGCTGGTTCAGGTCTTTCCGTAAAGATATAGAGGCTGGTTCGAGTTCTTTTATACAGATAGAGAGGCTGGTTCAGGGCTTTCCGTAAAGATATAGAGGCCGGTTCAGGACCTTCAACACAAGTAGAGAGGCTAGTTCAGGTCCTTCTATACAATTAGAGATGCTGGTTCAGGTCCTTCCATACAATTAGCGAGGCCGGTTCAGGTCCTTCAACACAAGTAGAGAGGCAGGTTCAGGTCCTTCCATACGCATGGAGAGGCTGGTTCAGGTCTTTCCGTAAAGATATAGAGGCTGGTTCAGGTTCTTTTATACAGATAGAGAGGTTAGTTCAGGTCCTTCCATACGCATGAAGAGGCATGGTCAGATCTTTCCATAGAGATATAGAGACTGGTTTAGGTCTGTCCGTAGAGATAGATTGCTGGATCTGCTCTTTCCTTAGAAGTAGGACGGTTACTTCTGTTCCTTTCGTGAAGGAAGAGTGGCTGGTCTAGCTCTCTCCTTAGGATATATATTAAACGTACTGTACTCGGGATACATATAAAATGTAATATCTACAGGGTACATATTAAACGTAATTATACTTATAATAAGACATTATATTAGGCCTATTATATTTTTAACTCGACATTCGTAATCTAGACCCTTAGGGATTTTCAAAAGTGTAAATTAATAGCATTTCGAACACACCATATTCGTCATATCCAATACCGACGACGTATTTCGCTTAATTCAGAGATCTTATTGTATTGTTAAAACATAAAATAGGCCTAACATAATGTTTCATAACGAGTATAATCATGAAACATCAGCTTGTGAAGGTGTTCACGTATTAAATGTCTTGTACTCAGGAAACGTACAATATGTAATATCATCAGGGTATATGTCACATCCAGGATATAAAGGAAAAGCATGCAAAACTCTTATTCCTGTAGTTACTGATAGTTCCGAAAATAAACAACAGTAAATGGAGCAGGATAGTTTTTAGCTCATAGTGGCTCATAGAATGGCTCTGAGTGTTGTTTTTTTTTTCAGGTACAAACTTTGAACTTATAGCTCCGTCATCTCTTGGACGATTTGAGATCTAATTACAGTTTTGGACTCAGGAGGTCAAACCCTTTAGATTGATGTATTTGACCACGCCCAAGGTCTCATAGATTAATTTACTCTAATCCTGCCTAAAATAATTTCAATTTGAGGGTAGGCTATTAGAGATCCTAATGAGTAATAAAATCGAATCAGGTATACATACGTTCCACGCTTAGTATTGCTGGCACACAAAAATGTAGCTAATAAAAAGGGGGGTGGGGGAAGGTATCATAGTTTATTTTACTCCAATCCTACCTAAAATATTTTCAACTGCCGCGGCTATTGAGGATTCCCTCTTGTTTCTTAATATGACATATGTATCACATTAGTTTCTCCAACAGACATATTTCAAGAACAGTATACTGTAAAATCACTTACCGGCTTACGATATCTTGGTAAAATAATGAAGATATATGCGTGTGGATATAAGTACTTGAGGTTTTTTGTTTTTTTTTGAGAGTCTTATGTGGTCAGAGATAAAACACTTGAAGAACGAAACACTCCAGCTATCGATCTTATACAACTTTTCATATACATCACAAAAGTTTCTCCTTTCTTTCGTCAACAGGGCGAATATTTTACAAGCGAGGAAACATTTCAGTCAAAAATCGAACTTTCTATTTTTCTTTCTTTCATTACCGAAGGAAAAAAAGGTCGAGCTTTGTATCATTCTCTTCTTTCATTTATAGAAATGGACAGTTATCATTTCAGTTCCAGGAGAGACTTAGCTGGTCACTTAAAAATAGATCTTGATCCACGAAAGGCCCATACTCCGTCAGCTGAATACTCCAACTGTTTTCCTCCACGGTTTCCAGCACACACTTGAAGCAATTCTACTTGTTAACAGAATACTCTCCACTGCATTGCGCTGCGATACGTTTCTCGTGCATCCAGAGCACGCGCAAAGACGTAGGCAGCTGAAGGTCCAATTTCGAATGAGGAAAAAAAGAGAGCGAGCGGCATACTTCAACTAACTATACACAGATAGACAGACAATAGTTAATTATAATAAACACACAGATAGACAAGAGTTAATTATAATTTACACACTGATAGACAGACAAGAGTTGATTATAATAAACACACAGATATACAGACGTGAGTTAATTATAATATACACGCAGATAGACAGACAAGAGTTAATAAATAAATTATAAGTAGAGATACAGGAAGATCAAGTTATAGGAGGAGACAAAGAAGAGATGAATTGACGTGTTTAGTTTGTTTGAAGTTAAGCACAAAGCTATACAAAGAGCTAACTGTGCTCTGCCCACCACGGGTGTCAAAACCCGGTTTCTAGCGTTATAAGTCCACAGACATACCGCTGTGCCACTGGGGGGGATCTGTTTTTGTCGCCCTATCGCTATAAGTATTTAATTCCCTCTCTATTTATATATGTATTTGTCTCATTATCTATCACTCTCTATCTGTTTTTATCTTATAGCTAAACAGATATTTTATAGCTTAAAAAAGTAGAGACAAATGCGAACAATAAGCACAGTTAAAGAGATAGAAAAATACAAACATATACATTCAGATAATAATTGACCTGTTTTGAAGTGAATCTAATAGTAGTTTATTAGATTGTAAAGGTCAACATTGTAGGTGTAACAACGGGCAATACTACGTGGAAAAACTCAATGACCACGTTATATACGCAAAGCTTAAAATTCTGTGCGACACTAGGGCTTTCAGTCACCTCTCAGGACCGCAAGCAACGCACATTACTGAATACGAGAGGAGGGTTGCAGACCATTAGCCACTTATATGAAAAGTGTGATGAAGAACGATGTAAAAACTTTCCCTCAATTTATGGATCTTGCTGCTCGTGTGTTTGAAAAGGACTAGTCCAATTGTGGTGTGTTCTAGGACTTATCTGTTATGGAGTTCATGTTTTATCACTATAACTGTTTCCTCTCTTGGGTATTTTACTGACTGCTGACATTATAAAATTATTTAACTTTACAGAAGTAAAATATACATTTGTAGATTTTTTTTATCTTCGTTCTAATGTTGTACAGATTTTTTTTACATAACAACTGCTCGTAATTCCTGTATTTTCGAAAACCCGTTAATAAGCGAAAGAGAGGTAATTTTGGAAACAGCAAAATCTAAGAAATTCCTATGATCAGATCAAACTTTTCTTTACACGTAATGTATATTGACGAAGTTTCTGTTACAGTTGTAGTTTTAAGAACAAAATCGCCAACCGATGTGTGTAGTAATTTTCGTGTCAACAACATGTGATTTTTCTCCTTTTCTACTACTTGAAAGTCAATTAATCATCCTGACCAAGTGTCGGTGATACGTGATTTAATGCTGAGAGCTCCCCATTGGCTGGTTAAGAGATTGGAAAGTCACGTCACCGTCCGTTGTTACCGTATCGTACAAATTGATGCTATCCATCCATTCCTCATTGTTTGTTAGGGGAGGGGGGCGGGACTGACAGTACGACCAGGTCACTGTATCTTTGTGATTGAAAGAACAATGTGTGTAAGTCTGTCTCTGTGTTTGTGCGTGCTGGCTCACATGGAAACCCAATATTCCTATTAGCTAATTGTACAGTGGTACTTTACGAGTGGAAAAGTGAACGACTTTTAACGTACACTGTTAAACTACCACATATATAACATTAACGTTGAAGACAATTAATTACCTTGGTAACGTAAACAAACACACAATAGAACACATTAAATTAAATTAAAGTGTTCCAATACAGATTCAAAGAAATTGACAATTAGGCCTAAAGTATAAATACCTTCATAATCGAAGCGCGATTTTATCCGCTGTATAATAATCACTGCTACAACTTCATTCATTATCGATGCTTTACAACTAACACATTGCGCGAAAGAAAATAATTACATATTTCAGATGTGATGTAGACACATATACACACAAGAAATTTAAAAAACAGATGACGACAATTGATTTTTACACTTCTTGATTGGAAATTTTAAAAATTCACTATATTATATTGTTCCTTTATTATGAGTCCGATCAAAATAAAATCTTCTTTAAGATCTTCCTCAATTATCCTGATTATCTAGAAAGACAAGATATTTAATTAAACAAAACAAAAAACGTTGTGTACAGAAAGATATTTCGTTTATAGTGATTCCATATTTTTATACTTATTTACTTGAAATTTAAATACAACAACTCCATATTCTGCTTATTAGGCTTTTGTTTCATTAATGTACATAAAACAATGAAAGCAATACTTAAAGGATTTATCTATTTAAAACATATACCCTTCCCACATATATATATATATATATATATA